CACGTGATCCCTTTTGACCACCTTCGGACAAGCAAAGCCAATGGGGAAGCCAGATTCACTTAACAACTATGAGACTAACTCACTCACCGCAGCAATTTACTTAACTACGGCAAGAAAGGTTGTAAAATGGGGCACTTAACAACTGTCCCAGTTGGCAACAGATTTTGGGCTCGGTTGTGGTTGTAAGTCGAGGACTAGCTGTATTCAGGAGAAAGTGTTACTTTAAATAGGCAGAGCTCCACCACTCGGCATAAGTCTGAATGTTATTCAAAAGGAATACAAAATTATCTCTCTTTTTTTGGACTCATAGTCTATTCAGTGTCTTTCCTTAACCTTTGGGATCCTTCGTGTTAGAAAAAGTTTCTCCGTGTACCATGAATCACGGCGATTAAACATGTGCAAGGGGGAAAAGGGCACCATGTTTGGGGTTGCATGCAGGTTTTGCACTGATGGTGTTACCTAGATGGGTAACAAAATATCTGCAAGAAAACCACCAAGATTTAAAACATTTAGATTTTTATGGCAGCCGCAATGGAACTGTGGGATCATCTGAATCAATTGTGGCTTTTCTTCCAAGAGACACATTGAGTTGAGCCCCCCAAAATATTTTCAGATAGCAGAACCAGCTGTGTATCCTTTCAAGGCAATAAAAAACATATAGAGGTTGTCCTTGACTTACAACCACAACCATAAGTCACTTTCTTCAGTGCTGTAGTAACTTCAAATAGTCACTAAATTTAATTGTTGTAAGCGGTGGCAAATCTAGAGAGCACACTAAAAAGCAGAGGCAACACCTTGCCAACAAACGTATGTCTAATCAAGGTGATGGTTTTCCCAGTTGCCATGAATGGCTGTGAAAGTTGGACCATGAGAAAGGCTGAGCGCCAAAGAATGGGGGCCTTTGAACTCGGGTGCTTGAGAAGAAGACTCCTGCATTGAGTCCCTTGGACTGCAAGGCCATCCAACCGGTCAGTCCTAGAAGAGATCCACCCTGACTGCTCTTTAGAAGGTCAGATCCTGAAGAGGAAACTCAAAGACTTTAGCCACCTAATGAAAAGGAAGAAGGACTCCCTGGAGAAGAGCCTCATGCTGGAAACGATGGAGGGCATAAGAAGAAGGGGACGGCAGAGAAGGAGATGGCTGGATGGAATCACAGAAGCAGGCAGTGTGAGCTTCAGTGGACTCCAGAGGATGGTAGAGGACAGGAAGGCCTGGAGGAACGTTGTCCATGGGGTCGCGATGGGTTGGACACGACTTTGCAACTAACAACAACAAAGCCAAGAGCTACCTGGCCTTATTAAGCTGCCTGGTTTTTACTCTAGTATCAGTTGTTAATTTTCACTCCTGAAAAACTCACCCATTGGGGTCGAAGGGTTAACACGCACATTGGGTGTTAACGGTGTTTTCCAAAAATAGGGCTGGAATTCTCCTGTTCTCCAAACCGTCTTTTGTAGTGAAGACATCCAGATTTAATTAGATGCCAACACCCAATAACCTAAAGCAACTTCCTCATTCCAAAATTGAATCAAAGCTTTTGCCTTCTACCCGAGTCTTAGCATTTGGCAACATCTCGTACTACGTTATGGGATTATTCCCAGCAAACGGTATATACAATCCAAGAGTGGTGTGGTGGCCTAGAGGTGGAGCTCTCGCCTCACAATCAGGAGGCTGTGAGTTCGATCCTAGGTAGAGGCAGATATTTCTCTCTCTTGGGCACAATGAGAAATAGATCTGCCAAACAAAACTCTGCATCGGTGACAGGAAGGGCATCTGGCCAGGAAACACTCAGCTCCATTCAGTTGCCCAAGACTCCACCCTGCAACGGTCTTTATGGGGTCTTTAAAAGATGACGATGAAAAGGGTGTACATTCCAAACTTCAGTTGATTACTTGGAACAAATACCTTTTCTTTCACCCTGCGTCCCTCCTCCTTTTTTCCTTTACATTCTTCTGAATGCTGCTTTTCGGGAGTTCTTTCTTTGGGGTTATCATTTCTCCTGTTGACCTGCTGCAATCCACCCTTCCCCTCTGGTTTTGGATATGTAAAATTGCCGGAGACCAATTTTGCTACCTTCCACCCTGTCTAAACAAAACCCCATCTTATTTTGCATTGTAAACCCTGCACCATCCTTTAAAACTCTTCATGGAGAATACCCTGCCTGGGCACCTGTACCTGGAATGTCATATAACACCAAAACCTAAAGCTTGCTGGCTGCCTCTTTTGAACTTCAGTTTTGGATTGTTTCCATGAAATCTCTTCCGGATTGAGCAGTTCCTTTCGGCGAGCAAAATCTGAATTCAAATGGGGCCTTCGTAGAGGCCTTGCCTGCATGCGTTAACACCCAAAACAGCCTTCTAACATGCAGCTGTGCCATCAAATCATTTGCACTGGAACACTCGGTCCAAACCAGTAATTTGGAGAATTGGGTTGTTCTTGGCAGGGCCTTTCAACATCCTTTGAAAAATTTAAAGGAATTGAAAAAGTGCTGCTTTGTTCAAAGACAATTCTTTCTCCCGGGCTTGGGGTGGGGGAGGAATTCCACAGCTCTTAAAAACTTCAATATTGAAGCAAAAGTTGAACACTTTTGAAAGTCGACTGGTTTGTTTGTTTTATCATCGCCTAGAAGATGAGAGGGACTCAAACGGCACCGTTGCTAATGTAGTTATTTTTTGAGATGGTGTTAAAGAGAGTTCTAGATTACTGTTGGCAATAATCCATGGACCCATAAGGTAAAGGTAAGGGTTCCCCTTGCACCTATGTGTGAGTTGTTCCCGACTCATCTCCGTTTGAAAGCCGAAGAGCCAGTGCTGTCCAAAGATGTCTCCATGGTCATGTGGCCGGCATGACTTAAACGCCGAAGGCGCACGGAATGCCTTTCCCTTCCCACCAAAGGTGGTCCCTATTTTTCTACTTGCATTTTTTACGTGCTTTTGAACTGCTATGTTGGCAGAAGCTGAGACAAGTAATAGGAGCTCACTCCGTTACGCGGCTCTAGGGATTCAAACTGCCGACCTTTCTGATCAACGAGCTCAGCGTCTTAGCTACTGAGCCAATGCATCCCTAGTCCAGTGTTTTTCAACCTTTTTTGTGCAAAGGCACACTTTTTTCATGAAAAAA